AACTGATGTTTTTCACCATTGCCTTCAATCAGCATATAAAGAACCGCTAAGGTATGCAGTACTCACGGAACACCCGCTATGCCTATTGATCATGCAGCTAGCAGCAAACATGATAATAGAGATATATTGATTTTGTATATGGCCTTGCATACAGCGCACAATGCCCAGGGTTTAGCATTTGCTGTAAAGCTGGTTTCTGAAGAGATCTTACCAGGATGAATGGGCAGGAAACTTAGTATGGCCATATACAGGTAACGGCATAAATACATAAAGGAGACATTCCTAACAGCATGAGAAATTAATTAGTGGGATACTAATGATACCCAGCAAACATGCTTAAATTAGACAGTCCACTGAATGTGCCTAATCTTAGTTCCATGTAATCCACGGAAGCCAGAGTTCACAGAAACCATCACTTTTTCATTAGAGATTCAGACTCCCAAGGCAGGTTTTACCTTCACTGATGGCTGTGAATAATTTCTTTGACTTTGATACATTAGTCAATCTGTCTGCAAAAGACAGACATAATCCTAAAGTGGGTGTGTTTATGAATACTTCTTGTTCATTAGAGACAGGTAGGGAAAGGGTTCCTAGATCACAAGTTACAAATTGGAGAGGAGTGGAATGTAACAATACATCAATACCTGGATGAAAACCTGCATCTCTAAAATGGTAAGCTGAGTTATACATTTCAAATGCTAAAGAGACACCGTCACTAACTTAAAAATACAGCATTGGAACATACAGGTATACTTACCATTAGTGTGTGGGTTGCCAAAGCCTGCCCCCTTGCATGGCACCTTGTTTCCAATTTTGAGTGACAATGGTCTCTTCTCCACATCAGGTCAGAGGAAGTAGAGGTTTGTGTGACAGACACTGGATTTACACTTCTGGACATTATTTACTTTAGGGTTGCACAGATACCAAGTACAGTACTTGGTACAAGTATGAGTACATGTACCGATACTTTTGAGCTCCAAGACTAGACTAGAGAAAAATTCAAAAATTAGGAGGCCGCTGTCATTTGTAAGGAGCACACGGAGCTCCTGGGATTTGTACATCTCTGTTTTAATGTAGGATTTTGTTTTTATAAATATAAATAAAGGGAGGCAAAGATACCAGTTTGGCGAGTACGAGTACTGGTACTTGCCGAGTACTTACAAGTACGAGTACTGATACATTTTTGTTTATTGTCATGTGACCGTTTTTCTAAAACAATACAGACTAATGATTTCAGTACAGTGTGGGAG